ATCCGCTTGCCAAATAAGCATTGTCTCTCTGTTTGCCAAATAAGCATTCAGAATCCGTTTGCCAAATCATGACTTGCCACATAATCATTTATAGTCACCGCTTGTCAAATATGCATTTACAGTCTCCGCTTGCCATATAAACATTCAGAGTTTCTGTTGATCAAATAAGCATTTACAGTCTCCGTTTGCCAAATAAGCATTCACTCATGACTTGCAAAATAATCATTTATAGTGGCTACTCGCTAAATAAGCATTTACAGTCTTCACTTGCCAAATAAGCATTCAGTCGTGACTTGTAAATAAGCATTCAGAGTCTCTGCTGGCCAAAAAACATTTAATCTCCGTTTGCCAAATAAGCATTCAGATCCCAACTTGCCAATATGACTTACTCTCCAAAAAGACGAGAGAAAATCTATTATATTCCTATTCGTATTTTATTTTATTACCTATCTCATCTAGTAAGAGTTGGTATACTTTTTTAATGTTATTCGTATTGGCCGGGGGTCAAAATACACACATATCACGACGTTTATTATGCTACAAATCAATTTCGGATAAAATACTGGTTTTGTCATGCTAAATTTCCAAGATGGGCGAATTTGTTTGTTTGTTTAATATTATATCACCTCCTTATCAACTCCATTTAATGCTGAAATTTAATTTTCTTGTGATCTTTGAAGTAATAAAAGTATCATATATGTTATTCTGCTTTCACAATTGAATACATGGTAGATGATACTCAGCTTTTGTGTATATACATGTCTGTATGGACATAATTAGAGGTAGTGATATGTTTGATTTCTTTAAGAAATTGCAGGATATTATATGGACTAATGTCATGAAAGAATTCATTTTGGTTGTTTGGTTGTTTGATTGCTTGTTTTTAGTGGCATATCAACACCTCTATGGGTTATTCAATGCCGAAATCTAAATAATTTGAGCAGAATTTTATGGCTTCAACTAAATTTATTTTGAACGCAATTGCTTCAACTACAGATGAAATGTCATTTTGCTATAAAAATATTGCTGGTGATTTTGCTATAAATAGGTATTGTTAGCCATTTTGTTATAAAAATGTATTTTTATACTTCCATCTTGTTTTTGTTTGGAGGTTCACTGTTTTCCCATAGCCGAGACCCTAACAGATGCTACTACCTCAGGTCAGAGTGGAACTGGCAACAACAGAGATGGTTCCACGTTCTTCAAAACCTCCAATCTTCCGATCAGAGGCCATGCTTCCAGCTGTAGTCTATCGTCATACCCAGGTATCAAGCTGCTAGTAAAGTGATAGGGAGCTGTAAGATAGAAAAAGCAACCCCTCGCTGAATCAAGCTGTTGAACGAAAAAAAAGACAAGAGTAAAAACAAAAAATACTTTTACGGCTTCAACTAAATATATTCTGAACGCAATTGTATACCTTCAACTACAGATAAAATGTATTGTTGGTCATTTTACTATAAAATGTATTGTTGTCCATTTTGCTATAAAAATGTATTTTTGGTCATTTTGCTATAAATATGTATTTTTATATGGACGTGTGGCCGAGTGGTTAGAACGTTTGCGTTCTAACAATGAAACCCGGGTTCAAATCTCACCATGGTCGATTTGTCAGGAAGGAGACTTCCTGATTTTATCGGACTGTGGATTGACCCAAGCCTTGTGAGTGAAACTGGGTAGATGGAACCCTTGGGTGCCGTCGATAGCTGAGCTAGCACAAAATCACAAGTCATCGTGGCCGAGGCCTTGAGCGTGCTGGCCTTGTTCAAATTGTTGATCATGCCAAATAACACGCTCTTTCCCAGAAACCGTAACTAAGGTTTGCTCAGCATAGTTGCAGTATAAACCACAGGTGGGCTCTCTAGGTGTTGAATAAACACAAATGCAACTGAGCAAGCGTCTGCAATGGAGATTGGCTAGCCACTCTATTAGGTATCCTCAAATATGAGTGGCCATATATATATATATATATATATATATATAAAAGTGAACATTGAAGTCAACACTCAGAGGCGACAAGCTGTTTCATGCTAGACACAATCGTCAGGCCTGGCGATTGTGTTTGCAATATGTTTATTTTTAAATATCACTATATTACAAACGCTATCTCTGATATTGAGCACTTTATTCCATAAATATAGCACACCTGAAAAAAACTATATTTCTTCATATATATATATATATATATATATATATATATATATATATATATATATATATACTTTCGTAGTGTTTTTGATTTTGTTTGGGTTTTCAATATTTGTCCATAGTTGGAACTCTAACAGGTGCTACCATTCCAGGGGTGAGGGTGGAACAAGGAACAAGAGCAACTCAAAGGTAGTTCCACGCTCATCAAAACCTCCAATCTCCCAGAGGCCTTGATGCCAGATTTAGTTTATCGCCAGGACTAAAAATGGCAGAGCCTGGTTGATTGCGCTGTATTTGTAATTCAGCTCGAACATTGTCGGAACGACTACTGTTGTTACTTCCTATGGTATCAAGAAATATAAAGTAAAAGACGGTTTGTAACCGCGGTTTAAACTATCGTCTGCCTGCGCCATTCTTATGGCGCAGGCAGACGATAGTTTAAACCGATAAATGAGTGGTTGCTAAATGTAGGAAATGACCCAGGGCAAGGTATTCTTTCCGATTGCCAACTTTTTGGTGCCACTTTTATCAGACAGTTGCACTGATAAATGGGAGAGAGATAACAGAACAAAGTTAACCTTACCTCTTGACCACCGGAAGTAAACTGCGTCGGAAACAGCTCAGCAGTGATTTCCCAGCCGGACCACAGAAGCTACCGGAGTTTACCTTACAGGCTCTATATAGATGCTTAAGTGTGAAACCGGATTTTAATTCAGCTCATTCGATGCAGCTAACTGCACATGTGATAAAAGATCAAACCAAAAATGGATTCTTCTTTATTTGCCGTGTCCCTTCAGGACGTAGGCGATCATAGCTCTCTACATCTTTCCTTCCGCTTAGCTCTTAAAAAATTTGTCTTTTTGCTATTTCCCCCAAACCCTATTCTACCACCCATTTACTCAAGCTCATCAAATATGTTACGCGTTGCATTCCTCTGTTCATCTTCACATCAATCTGCCTTGTGAGTATCATATTTTCCAAGACCTCTTTCCTCATTATGTGCCTTAAAAATTTTAACTGTCCCCTCCTGATGTTAATTATAAGTTACATTTTTGTTTCCATTTTCTCTAAAACCTCGTCGTTGCTCACATATTCGGCCCATGGTATCCTCAGCATTTTTCTGTAGAACCACATTTTTGTTACTTCAATTCTCTTCTTCATCTTTGAAGAGATTGCCCGGTATTCCCTGTCTCATAGGAAGACAGATATCACGTAATCCCTTTGGAACCCTTTCAAGTCTGGAAAGATATTTAGATATGGCGACAATAATACATTTTTGATAAATCCCAACGATTATGGCGTTTATCAAAAATGAATTACTAACCGAATGGACAAAATGTCGAAGGAAAAAGTGTCAAAAGACCAAATGACGAATGGACAAAATGTTAAAGGAAAACGTGTCAAAAGACCAAATGACGAATGGACAAAATGTTAAAGGAAAAAGTGGAAAAAGACCAAAGGACGATTTTGACAAAATGTGGAAGGGAAAAGTGTTAAAATACCAAATGACGAATGGACAAAATGTCGAAGGAAAAAGTATCAAAAGACAAAATGACGAATGGACAAAATGTCGAAGGAAAAAGTATCAAAAGACCAAATGACGAATGGACAAAATGCCGAAGGAAAAAGTATCAAAAGACAAAATGACGAATGGACAAAATGTTAAAGGAAACTGTCTGAAAAGACCAAAGGACGATTTTGACAAAATGTCGAAGGAAAAATCATCAAATGACCAAATGACGAATGATAAAAACGTCGAACGGGCTAAGTATCAAGCGAATAAAATGAGGTGATGTATTTAATTTAATTTTTACCTTCATAAAGTCCCTCGAGGGACGAAACGCGTCGGTTAAGATTATCCTCTTGTCTCGTTTTAATCATTTTGTCTCCTCTACAAATACACTCTATCTGTGAATATTTACACACACACACACACACACACACAGATATCTAGATATATATATATATATATATATATATATATATATATATATATATATATATATATTGTCATCCACAGACAGACTGTTTCACAGCTCATCAGTCTGGCAAGACATTCGATTGACTCAAGCCAGGAACAAAACTCGACTGATTTCGTATCAATCGGAGACTCTACCAGTAAAGGATGAAGGTAAATTTAGACGTATTTATTTTAAGATAAACACGTAAGAACTCGTTTCGTCTTAACGGAGAGTCTTGTATATATATATATATATATATATATATATATATATATATATATATATATTTATTTGGGGTCTAAAGGAGTGCATAAACTGCCCGTAGTTGTTAGTGTCACAACTGGTTTCGGTCATTTCACAATTCATTAGCCATTTCCAAGGGTACCGTTGTTACTGTTTTCCATGTTCATGCCATAAAGTGCGTAAGATTACTATTACTTCGACACAATACACCTTATATTTAGAGACCTGGGGAAAACAATATATATATATATATATATATATATATATATATATATATAAGGAGGAAAAGGTGAGATCGTTGAGTGCCTCTAAATGATGAATGTGTTGATGTGACTTAAAAGACTGGGCAACGTGCCTCAAGATAAAAACGACATCAGTTCGTCTACTGCGTTGCGTTCATTGCGGGATTTCCTTCCTCTCATACCCCCCCGCCACTGGCCTTATGTGTCTTTCCTGTTCTTGTTCACTTCCTTTGACAGGCAACTTTTATTGTTGAGCGACAGCAAAAGGGACTGTTTCTGTCTGTACACCTTCGGGTGACAAAGGACAACACTGCGGGAGTAAAGCTCGTGACGTGAAATAATAAGTTTCCGGTGTTTGTCGCAGGATAAATAAATAGATATGCACATTCAAGATCGGACTGATACAGGTTTAAAGGGAAAGGAAGATAGATAGATAGATAGATAGATAGATAGATAGATAGATAGATAGATAGATAGATAATGAACAGACTGAGATAGATATGAATAGACTGGGATAGCTAGCTAGCTAGCTAGCTAGCTAGCTAGATAGATAGATAGATAGATAGATAGATAGATAGATAGATAGAATGAATGATGAACAGACTGAAACATATAGATGAGATGGCTATCTCGCTAGATAGATAGATAGATAGATAGATAGATAGATAGATAGATAGATGGATAATGAACAGACTGAGATAGATGATGGATAGACTGAGATAGCTAGCTAGCTAGCTAGCTAGCTAGATAGATAGATAGATAGATAGATAGATAGATAGATAGATAGATATGAACAGACTGAAATAGATAGATGGATAGATAGATGATAGATAGATAGATAGATAGATGTGAACAGACTGAAACAGATAGATAGATGGATATAGATAGATAGATAGATAGATAGATAGATAGATAGATAGATAGATAATGAACAGACTGAGATAGATATGAATAGACTGGGATAGCTAGCTAGCTAGCTAGCTAGATAGATAGATAGATAGATAGATAGATATGAACAGACTGAAACAGATAGATAGATAGATAGATAGATAGATAGATAGATAGATAGATAGATATGTATGAACAGACTGAAACAGATAGATAGATAGATAGATAGATAGATGAAGATGAACAGACTGAAACAGATAGATAGATAGATAGATAGATAGATAGATAGATAGATAGATAGATATGAACAGACTGAAACAGATAGATAGATAGATAGATAGATAGATAGATAGATAGATAGATAGATAGATAGATAGATAGATCTATGTTAAATCAATTCCTTCACTTCTGTTCTTTTATTGTTCTCTCACAGTCAGTAACTTTTTAGTGGCTTTATTGCCTTGCTTGGGAGTGAAATGATTCGAAAAGCTTAGCTGTTGCATTATGGGTACTCTCCCTTTAATCGTCCAAACGGAAAGCGCCTTTTGCAGAATATTTTAAACCCAAAGCAATGCAGACTTCGGAAGAATAAGTTCCGATTTTCCCAATGAAGGACTTTAAGTTCGGTGACTCCAGCGCCCCAATGATAACTGGTGGGACAATAGAGACCTTAATTTGCCATATTCTGGCAACTTCAATCAAAATCTTCGTAAATTTATTGAACTTGTTTCTTTTGTCTTCATATTATGATCACCATCAATAAGGTATTTTCTTGTTGCTTTGTCAGTGACTGTTATGTCTTTAGTATCATTATTATTAATTCCTTTGATTTCGGTCCTATATCATATAGCAGTTCAACGTTCTCTTCTTTGTTTTTTAACGGAGTTTTCTTGTCTGAGAAGCAGACGATTAGAGAGAAACTTACGAAAGAGAAACATGAAAATTGTAGACAGAAACGTACAAAAAGAAAAAAATAAATACGTCTCCATCATTTATTATTATTATTAATTTCTTTGATTTCTGTTGTGTACACATTTCGTTTCGAGTACCACCCAAAGACTTCAGCTTAGAAATGGCATCATGACATTTTCACTGAAAAAAAAAACATTTTACATGGATAAAGTCCTTCGTAAGGTGTGCGCCGTACTCGTGAGACCAATTTTTTGCATTTCTTTAAAGCGTGGACTTCCAGGAATCCCTTCAACTAGTCTACTGGAATCTTTTACAACCAATCCGAGGGCTCCAACTACAACGAGGATTGTTGATGTTCCCATGTGCCACAGTTTTGAGAATTCGATTTCAAGGTCCTTGTATTTTGATAGCTTTTTGAATATCTTCAAAGATACATTGCAGTCTGCAGGATTGCTATATCAATAAGGAGGGACATTTTTGTTTGCAGTCTCTAATAACAATGTCTAGGCGGTTGGCTTTGATTGTTCTGGATGTGTGTATTGTGTAATCCCATAAAATTGTAACAGGTCCTATCTCCATATCCGTGATTATTATTATTATTATTATTATTATTATTATTATTATTATTATTATTTCCTTTGATTTCTGTTGTATACACATTTTCTTCTGGGTCCCAACCAGGAACCTAAGGTCAAAAATGGCTTCATGACATTTTCCATTGATCATTTTTGTAAAAAAAAAAAACAAAAACAAAACAGATCACACATATTTTACATAGATAGAAATCTTCGTAATGTCTGAACTGTACTTGTGAGTACCATTTTTTGTATTTCTGCCAGGAATCCTTTCAATGAGTCTATCAGAACCATTTCCATTCAAACCGAGTTCTTCAATCCCAATTGGAAATATTGTGGCACCACATTTTTAGATTTCTACTTCAGTATCCTTGTATTTTGATAATTTTTGGAAGATCTTCAAAGATATATTACAATCTGCAGGGACTATTATTATTATTATTATTATTATTATTTCCTTTGATTTCTGTTGTATACACATTTCCATCCGGGTCCCAACCAGAGACCTAACATCAGAAATGGCTTCATGACATTTTCACTGACTATTTAAAAAAAATTTAAGATCACACACATTTTACATAGATAAAGCCCTTCGTAATGTCTGATCTGTACTTGTGAGTACAATGTTTGGCATCTCTTTAAGGTATAGACTACAAGCAATCACTTCAGTGTGTCTATCCGTACCTTTTCTAATCAATTCCGAGGGCTCTAACTACAATTATTATTTCCTTTCATTTCTGTTTTATACACATTTTCTTCCGGGTCCCAACCAGAGACCTGAGGTCAGAAATGGCATCAGGACATTTTCACTGGACACTTTTAAGCCTAAGAGCGCACACATTTTAGATTGATAAAGTCCTTCATAAGTTATGAGCTCTACTTTTGAGAACAATTTTTTGTATTTCCTTAAGGCATGGTCTACCAGGGATCATTTCAATGAGTCAATCAGAATCTTTTTTCCAATCGAACGGAATTATTAATGGCTTCCTGTGCCATTAATAATTAAGATTTTTTTTTTAGATCTCTACTTCAAGATCGTCGTATTTTGATAGATTTTTAAAGCTCTTCATAGATATTTTACATTCTGCAGGGACTGACGTGCCAATAAGAAAGTACATTCCGTTTTTGTGGTCTTTGATCACGATGTCTGATTATTCTGTCTGTGTGTATTTTAAAGCCCCATAAAATTGTTCCAGGTCCTATGTCTGTAACCGGGTCTGGGTGGTGTTCATACCAATTTCTTGGAGTTTCCTTCCCGTAAAAGTTTTAAATTTTCCAGTGGGGATATTGGCCCACTCTGTCATGCAGTATTTTATATTCAGTAGGTGCCAATACCGCGCAACCCGATACAAGATGATCAGTTGTTTCTGGATATTTATCACGAAATCTGAATTTTGCGCTAACACAATTGTTCAGTATGTCAGATTGGTAATTTCTATTTAAGAAGCACTGGTCCTGTGCAGAAAGAATAAAACATTCAGTTCCAGCTTTTAACCCTGCACTACGTAACCACTGAGAGGTACAGGGTTTGTCGGCATCAGTTTCTTTGCTACGGATATAGTATTGACCATGAAGAGGCTTATCTTGCCATCGTTTATGCATTTGGTATATTGCATTTGCTCTTGCTTTTATTTTTTAGGTTCTTTGCCGCTGCAGTAGGTGTATTATGATTTATTTGCAATTCTTCATCCACTTGAAATTCCATTTTGAATTTCTTAGCTTCTTTTACTGCTGAATAAAATTTCTTTCTTTCATCTTCTTTGACACAGATCATCAAAGATATATAACAGTTTGAAGGGACTGCCATCTCAATTAGGAAACATAGACTGCCTCATTCTCCAAGCCTTGACACCTGGCCATGACGCCTCCCAACTACTACTGCTCCTGAATCGAGATGTACTGTGCGTCAGCAACTAGGAGACATGCACAAACTGGTTAATGTCAAACAACTGACAATCAAATCAGGAGTATTGAACCGGATATTTACCGGATTTAATTCTTGGAGACAAAAGATGTACATGCTATCTCCTTCAATCGAGATCAGAAACCATGAAGAGCTATGCCTGGTAAAATACCAGGGCTTTATTATTATTATTATTATTATTATTATTATTATTATTCCTTTAGTTTATGTTGTATAGATAGATAGATATGAACAGCTTAAATAGATAGATCAAAACAGGTTTACAAATGATATATATGTGTGTGTGTGTGTGTGCGCATTATATATATATATATATATATATATATATATATATATATATATATATATATATATAAACTTACTGGGATAGATAGATATTGATATATTGAAATAGATATTAATTGACTGAGATAGATATTAACAGAATTAGGTGTATATATATATATAGATATATCGTTAGATATTATAGGTCCGTGGTTGAGTGGTTAGAACCTTCGCTTTCTCACCATGAAACCCGGGTTCGATTCTCACCATGGTTGATTTGTCAGGACGTAGACTTCCTGATGTTGGCAACCTAAGGGTTGAAAAAACAATGGAAAAATTTGATTATCATTATTATTATTATTGTGTATGTATAATATCTTGCCAGAGATAATTTTAAGTGCGCAATTACCACGTCTCCTTCGGGGTCCTATGAGTAAAAAGGGCACAGTAGAGGACTTATCCATGCATATTTGGGGCGTTAACAGGTGTTGATAGAAGCAGCGCATGATTTTGCAGATTGGGTCCAGTTAGAAATTTTTCATGTTTTGTAACCCAATCTGCGCAGATAGGCTTGACAGTGCCCTCTATTATCTATATGTGAGACTCAAGTCAACTAGGCTGCCTCATTCTCCAAGCCTTGACACCTGGCCATGACGCCTCCCAACTGCTCCTGCTTCTGAATCGAGATGTACCGTGCGTCAGCAACTAGGTGACATGCACAAACTGGTTAATGTCAAACAACTGACAATCAAATTTGGGCTATTGAACCGGATATTTACCGTATTTAATTCCTGGAGACAAAAGATGTACATCTCCTTCAATCAAGATCAGAAACCATGAAGAGCTATGCTTGGTAAAATACCAGGGCTTTATTATTATTATTATTAATATTTTAATTATTATTATTAATATTATTATTATTTATCGACTTAGCTATATTTTCTAACACATCTTTTACAATGAAATCTCTATGAAAATAAAACTTATTGACCATTTCCTTTGAGATGTACCGAATGGTGCCATTTTGAATGCGCAGTTTGCAAAAGAAGAAAAAACGACTTCCGGTCGCTTATTGAGGACTGTCAGTGCAAAATGAAACTGCAAGTTTTTCACCAACTGGGCGTCGTACTTGAAATTGGCATTTTCTTTATTACTCGTCAGCTGTTACTAACCTGAAAAGACGGAAACAGGTATTTAAAAATGTCTGATCCTCAGGCTTTAGAAGTAGCCGTATGGACTTAATGCTGAATGAAAATCCTGCTGCTTTAAAATAAACTTTTCATTTCTCTTGCCATGAAAAATCAGCGACTGATTTCCAACGGCAATTGCTGGTCGTAGAATTCATCTCGCGACGACATTGCCAAATAAATATTTATACTTTAGTTTCTAAAAGTAGACTGATTGCAGATTTGAGGAAAGTCTTCTGAGTTTAGTAAATATGATGGAAATTAGGACCTTAACCAGACCCAGAAAATAATAATTTGATCAACAAGAGAAAACAGACAGAAAAGCAGTGTTATTTGAAACAATGAAAAGACTATTATAATGTGCTGCTGACTGTTATGTAGGAAGCAACAAAAAATCGCAATACCTAAGGTTTAAAATGAATCTTTTTTTATGCTTTTATTTTAGTTTTAATTTCAAGCTAATAGATTAAATTTAATATTTCCATTAAGCCAAATACCTTTGCTGTATTTCAAAACTATTT